CATAAAAAGATTTCATGAATCTTAGTATTGTTGAACTTTGTGTATCTATACAAAGAATGTATTAGTAATAAGAAGCTTGAAATATTTTATTTAAAAGAGAATATCAATCTATTTGAACTCTAACCATGAAATAAATGTAAAGCAGTTTATCTTATCAGTGTGACTAAGATAATATGATCTGAATTTTTCATATTTCTATTACATAATTTTGATTAACAGCTTAATATGTTAGATAAATTCTTAGAAGTTCAATTTTGCTTTGTGCTGTTTTATGTCATAGAACTGATATATATATATACACACATAATTCTGAATTATATCGGCAGAAAGATTAGATAATTTTATTTGCTATTTGTCTATAGTAATCGGTCATATACTTGACAGTTTGAAAGAAATATGTTTGTCTTATAGTTTGGTTATTATTTGACATAATTTATATAGTATTTTTTTCGCCTGATCGATCAAATCAAAAAACATACTCATTAATGTAGGTATTACGATTATAAAAGCGTACTTGAAGGTATTAAAAACATATAGTTTGTACTTTTAACATATTTTTTTTGAATAATTTCTAATCATTTTAATAAAATTGAATCCTAGCTTGTATAATTTATGTACGCAAGCTACTATGTATGTTTTTATTTAATTTTTATTTCTTTTTTTTTCCTCTTTTTTTCCGTCATTAATGTGTACCGCACCGAGAAAAACAAAAATATTTGTCGTCCTATATACTTATGCCACGTTATTATTCTCTAATACACCAGCTCATTACATCAGAATTTTTTTCTTCTCTATTGGTTGCTATATATATATGTTTTTTTCAGATTGAATATTCATTTCTATTCAAAAACAGTATCTAATTAAGTCGATAACTATGTGCGGTAGGTGAACTATTTTGATTTCTCGTAGAAAATTTTTCTTTATATAATTATATACAGGTATATTTGGTTATCTGAATTATTTGGTTAAACGTGATCGAAGATTTATTGCTGATATTCTTATGAATGGTCTTCATCGTCTAGAATATCGTGGTTATGATTCGTCTGGTATTGCATTTGATGGTGATAATATTGAAGAAAATAATAATAATAAACGAGCTTGTATAGTTGTAAGACAAAAAGGAAAAGTTGAAGAACTTGAACATGCTGTTAAATGTAAATAAAAAAATTTTTTTTTTATTAAAGTCATTCTTTGATTGAATAGCTTTGGAAAATATTGATTGGAATGGTGAATTTTCGATTCATGTTGGTATTGCTCATACACGTTGGGCGACACATGGTGAACCAAGTGCAGTTAATTCTCATCCTCAACGTTCAGATGAACAAAATCAATTTGTTTGTGTTCACAATGGTATTATAACAAATTATAAAGATATCAAACAATTTCTTGTAAGTATAATTTTTATTTTAAAAACTAAATATCGATCTTCAATTAATTAAAATTTTAGATCAATAGAAATTATATATTTGAATCTGAGACTGATACGGAAGTTGTTATTAAATTAGTTAAATATCTTTATGATAAACATAAAAATGAAAATATTGGCTTTCAAAAACTTATTGAAATGGCTTGTTCACAATTAGTAATAAACGAATTGTTTTTTTGTTTTTCTTTTCAATAAATTTTAAATAATATATTATTAGGAAGGTGCTTTTGCATTGTTATTTAAAAGTATACATTATCCTGGTCAATTATGTGCTACTCGGTAAAGGTTTTTCTTTTGTATTGAGAAGATTATTCTAATATAAATTCTTTTAATGTAGCCGTGGAAGTCCAATGGTTATTGGTGTTAAATGTGCAGATGCATTTGGTTCAAATCATATTCCAGTTATGTTTAGTAAAGGTAAATATTTGTGTTAATCGAAATATCTATCTGCAAAGGGAAAAGTTTATCTATGATAAAATCTAATTCACTTAGATATTGCAAAAAATGCCCGACTTTCTAAAGGTAATTTTCTTGCTTATTAATTATCCGTTTGTCTGAATATTACTAAAGCTTTTAACCTTTATCCTTGTATGTTGCTTTACATTTTTCATTTTGAAATATTTTCTATTTTAGCCGATTCTGAAATTACAGATAGTAGGTTTTTCGGACATTTTTGATGAAACAAATAAGATTAAATTAGAATTTTGTTGATTATGAATTCTTCATAGATTTATTCAAAATTATAATCCATATGTATTTGAATAAGTAAAAGAAAATGAAAGATTTTGTTTTTTTTTGCAAATGCATGATTAAAATAGTTATTATTTTGCTTGATTAATTGTTTATGTCTTAAAGTAATTAATTCATTCCTTATGTTTAGATTTACGTGGCGTTTTTTCACCTCCATTATTGATTACTGATCAAGCAACAACGGATTTAACTGTGGCAGGCAATGATCGTAGTATTGAATATTATTTTGCTTCAGATGCAAGGTATATTTGTCTTTCTTTATTAAAATATCGTTTTCTAAAAACTAGATATACATGACATAAAAAGTTTATCTCTTTTATTTAAATAATTTTTTTAGTGCTATAATTGAACATACAAATCAAGTCATATTTATGGAAGACGATGATCTTGCTGTTGTTAATAATGGTACATTAACAATTCATCGTGCACAACATGAAGTATCAGGTCAATCAACAATTCGTGAAATAATTGAACTTAAGATTGAATTACAACAAATCATGAAAGGAAATTATAAATATTTTATGCAAAAAGAAATATTTGAACAACCAGAATCTGTTGTTAATACAATGCGTGGTCGTGTTAATTTCAATACAAAAAAAGTTGTACTTGGTGGTATTAAAGATTATATCAATGAAATTCGTCGTTGTCGCCGTTTAATATTAATTGCATGTGGAACAAGTTATCATTCAGCTGTTGCAACACGACAATTACTTGAAGAATTATCTGAATTACCAGTTATGGTTGAGCTTGCATCAGATTTTCTTGATAGAAATACACCAGTTTTTCGTGATGATGTTTGTATGTTTATATCTCAATCAGGTGAAACAGCTGATACAATTTTAGCATTACGATATTGTAAACAACGTGGTGCACTTATTCTTGGATTTACAAATACAGTTGGATCGAGTATTTCACGTGAATCACATTGTGGTATTCATATTAATGCTGGACCAGAAATTGGTAAGTTTTATTTATATAGATTTAAATAATCTGTATCTTTTTTTTCTATTAAGGTGTGGCAAGTACCAAAGCATATACAAGTCAATTTTTAGCACTTGTTCTATTTGGTCTTGTTTTATCTGAAGATTCAATATCAAAAGAAGCTCGACGTAATGATATTATTGATGGTCTTCAAAAACTACCTGAATTAATTAAAGAAGTACTTAATTGTGATAAACAAATACGTGATTTTGCTGAAAATTTATATGAAAAATCTTCATTATTAGTTATGGGTCGTGGTTTTAATTTTGCTACATGTCTTGAAGGTGCTTTGGTAAGATTGAATTATCTTCATATTTTCATGACAATGTTATTTTCTATTTTCAATTCTATAGAAAGTGAAAGAATTAACATATATGCATTCTGAAGGTATTCTTGCTGGTGAATTAAAACATGGTCCATTAGCTATGGTTGATGATACAATGCCAATTGTTATGATTATTATGGATGATCCAGTTAAAACAGTAAGTTATGAATCTTTTTTGTTTTGCTTTAAATTCTTACGATTAATTGTATAATCTAGAAATGTATGAATGCATATTCACAAGTTCTAGCACGTGGTGGTCAACCAGTATTAATTTGTAATGATGATGATGAAGAATTAATTAAAATAGCTCCTCGATATATTACTGTACCACGTACTGTTGATTGTTTACAAGGAATATTATGTGTTGTACCAATGCAATTATTATCATTTCATATTGCTGTATTACGAGGTTATGATGTTGATTGTCCAAGAAATTTAGCTAAATCAGTTACTGTTGCATAAAACAAATAATTAAACTTCTTAATAATTATTCCTTTACTCGTTTTGTTCAATTGTCTTGTTGATAATCTCATATTTATCATTAGCTTGCATTTGTTTTTTTTTTGTTTGTAATAATGAATAATGTTTTCTTTTCTTATTTGCGTCTGCAATAAGTTCGAATAAAATAAAAATTGAAGTATTGTGTTTCTTTAAAATCAATATTTTATTGATTATAGAGATGATAATTAAATACTGTCATGAAATAAACAATGATATATCGATCTGTACTTTAGATAATTTCTATTCTTGAAATACATATTGTATTATTGATTATAATAATGAACTTGAAAAGGGATGGAGGTGTTTGCGTTATATTCATGTCATATCCATACCACACCTTCAAGATGGTTGGCATCAACTATAACTAAGATCATATCTTGTTCGTTAAATATATCTGACATAAATCTGGTCTTCTCATTATTATCAAAATAAGTGGTCTCTCGTTGTTCTGATTCACACATAATCAAAGTAATTAGCTGTGATTAATTGAGTAGATTTCATCTGTGTTCGGAAGCCCATAAATATCAAGTGATTTGTTCAAAACTTCATCTGAAAATAATTAAAGATGATTTTTGAAACCACTGCTCAAGTGATAAAATCCGAATGTTGGATCCTATAGGTTCCAACAGGGATCCGATCATGATCCTATCGGATTACACCAGAAATCGAGAGACGGAACGATAATCAGATCCGTACTGTCGGAATCCAACATAGACACTATAAACGGAATTTATCGAATACCGAGTGTAAGACTTCCGATCGGATACTACATACAGTGACCGACAACACCCAACGCCTTGAGGGTGGGTGTAGGCGGAGATGTGGGTGGGTGCATGATGAATTTAATACCCATACCCACACCCTAAACTATATAAATAACAACGAGTAAGAAATATTTTATCACACATTAAATATTACATTCAAGCATTTCAACATAATAAAAAATTGGATATAGCTGAAAGTTAAAATATTATAACAATTAATAACAAGCTATACAAGCAGTATTTAAGAGAAAGTTCATATGTATATATTTTTATCTGTACATATTTTGTTTTTTGAGATAACAGGTTCATTCGGTCTATTTATATTAATAGTTCGCTTTATTTTGCCATAATATTTTTTCCAAATATATGTAAATAATGATAAAATGATAATAGCTATAAATGTAACAAATAAACCACTCATTGATTCAATAGTTGTACTTGTAATTATATCAGATGAAGTTGAACAAGTAGTACCTTGAAACCATTTTCTTTTTAAATCATCAAGATCACCAGATTCTCTTAATAATAATATATTAATATCTAAATTTTCAGCATATAACCATAGCTTAGGTACAGCAATACCAAATGCACTCTGGTCAAAATCTGTGCCTACTATCGTTAAATTACAGTAGAAACTTGAAGTTGCGTATTCTAAAACACCAGCATCCATAATAGCTGCATCAATTATATTATTTATTAAATTAGTATATATGTCTTTTTCTTGTTGTAATGGATAAAAATTTCGAGTTCCTTCCGAAACTTCTCGTAAATAATACTCTTCAATTGATGAATCAGCAACAATACCAATACGACTATATGATAATTTTCCACTTTTAATATCATCAATTCCAGAAATAATATCTTTTGTTTTTGAGATCGTTAAATCAGATGCTAAATTAGCAGTATATGTCGCTACGATGACTAAACTTAATATATATAAACCAGTAGTTACTAAGCGTCCAGCAGCTGTTGTTACAGTAAAATCTGCACCATAGCCTACTATAGTTCCAAAAGAATACCATGCACTCATCGCACCTGAACTAATGAGTGATCTATGTTGCAATGCTGGATTATCTTGTCGTTCAAATAAACAGATTAGAAATCCAGAAAATAATGTTGACACTAAAAGAACTATCCAAAGTTTAAGTGATAAAGGTCTTAAAAATGCCAAAAGATCCATTTCGTCAGCAGATTTTATTCGAGTAATAACACGTAAAGAATTATCAAATATTGAACTTGAAAAACTAACTTCTTCTGTTCGTGTCGCAGTGATTGTCATATCAGCTACAACCATATCATAAACACCATTAGCTACTGCATCAATTAAACTATTATACGTTTGATTTGATGGTACCAATATAATCTGAGGAATAAAATTCATTTTACTGACTAACAGATCAATAAGGTCAGGAAAATAACCAATTAACTTTGTAGAATTTTGTCCATATTCATCGATTACATTTTTTGTCATTGTAAAAGGATGTGTTTCGATAACGGCAATTCGTAATGTAACACCAATCATATCAGCACGACCAGTTGGAGGAGATAATGTATTACCAGGCCATAAAATAACATTCGTCTCTGTATATATTTGCCATGTATTAGAATCAGACCATACTAATACTGGAATGACTTCTAAACCATTTGAGAAGGATTGAAAATTTTTTAGAATATAATAATTACCATTTATTCTATCTGTTACATTCGAAGAATATTGTATCAGACCAGATATACCAAGAAATTCAACAGTACTGATTGTATAGATGAATTTATTACCATTGATAAAATGGCGATCAAAACAATATGATGAATCAATAATTGATATATCAGAAAGAGACTTATTTAAAACTGTTGAACAACATTGTTGTAATGCTTGAATTAATGACCAAGTTGCATCAAATGCAAATAATGCATAATAATCTATCATTGTTGTTACTCCAGGAAATGTTTCTGGCTCATATTGTTGCCAAATATCACACGCTGCTTTTAATAATGTTGTATTTATTGATGCATTGACTACACTTCCTGTTACTGGTTCTATACTCAACATTCCAACTAATTTCTGTTGTACTGTCCAATTAAATGAATTTATTATATCATGGACGCTTAATATCCATGTAAATCGTGGGCCAAGTACATCAAAATTAAAAGCACTTTCTAATATTAAACGTGTATAAATTGCAGCAGTCCATAATATAATAATTCGCGATGGACTATTAACTAAAATATCTTTTAAATCACCTCGGGTATTTAATGACATAATATCAAAAATAATCATGTTGCTAACTGTTAGTCCATGATTATTAAAGACTTCATTAATTATTCTTGCACCACCAAATCCATATGCATCATTTTGATAGATGATAATACATGATGTCCAATTATATCGATTAAATAGTTCAACCATTGCAAATGCAGCAGTGTTATCCGATGGAACAGTACGATAAAATGCTGGATATATCATTCGATCAGATAAATCAGGAGCTGTAGCAGAATATGATATTACAGGTAAATCAATACTGTCTGCAAATGTAGCAATCATCTCAGCTTCTCTCGAAAAGGCAGGACCAACAATACCAACAATACTTGAATTTGGTAATATTCGACAAGTACTGCTAAGACTATTCATTAAATCGCCACCAGTTTGTATTGTTTGCCATTCGATGTATTTACCATCAATTGTTATATTATACAATTGAGAAAGAAGTATTGCTGCTTTGAACATAGCTCGAGAATGAACAGAAATTGTTGTTGGTTCGGATGCATTTATTGCGTCTGAAAATAGGCCTAATAATTGTATAGTTGACGAATTTAATGATGGCCACATTGTTTTTACATAGTTTACATTACATTGCCAAAGTATAAAATGTAAACATAACCATTGAAGATTCCATATAAATACCATCGTTGTTTATAGGCAATACATATGTAATGATTGAAGTAAATGCCGTAAAACCAAGATTTACTACAAAAACATAACTATAATAATTACTAAAATCTTCGTTATCATCGAAATTATTATAAAAAATGATCTAAACTTTAAAAAACAGTTTAGTCACATGGTAAATTGTCAAGCAGAAAAGTCTTTTAGAAAAAGTAAAACATTATTATTTTCTACTCAGAGAACAAGAAAAAAGTAGAGAAAATTGCATTAAAACGATGAAACTAGAATTACTTTTGATGTATTTCATTTTCACTAATTAAAATGCAAATTTTTATTTTAATCAATGAAAACCGAATACATCAAAAATAATATCCGTTATATCATTAGAAATGTCTTTTTTTTTCTTATTTTTTTTAACTAAAGTCATCATTTTTTAGCAGTTTTTTTTATTCTTTGGGTATTTCTTTATGTAAAAAAGAGAATACATAATTATAAAAGAATATATTATTTTTAATGCAAAAAACGGCAGTTTACACTAAGCTTGATTGATAGACCATGTACTTACGTTGCATCTAGAGAAAAATAAAAATATTGTTGAAAATATCTAAATTAGCATAACTCTTCATATTCAAACAGATAATTGAAATATTTTTTCTTTTATACAATAGTTTCACAAAATTAGGTCATTTTGTATCAATATAAATAATTATTTTTGGGTGGTTTTCAAATTAATATTCATAAAATACAATATTTTGTTAGTAAAATTCATTCTTAGATCGTAAATCAGATTGATTGGAAAAGAAAAAGATATGATTAATATATAATCTTTCAAGTATGAAGAACTTCGTCGAATTTGATAACCCATTTTAAACCGAAAATTTATATCTACATAAATCTAGACTATATGTTGGCTGTAAGACATTCTAGTATACACAATTCTGTTTTTACAGAGCATGGAAGCATCAATGTGAATCTTTATCGAAAACGGTACAGGATTATACTCTATATTTTTCACAAATAGTTTCTATGGATACATTGTTAATTCGCCAAAATTCCTTTCTAAGTGTATATATTGTATTGTTTAAAAAAGCTAGCATATTGACTGAATATATAGACAAGTAAAAAGTCTTGGATAAATGATCGAAAATAAACAGTACATAAAAATAAAATCATCGTCACGTATAATAAAACTGTTAAAATACATAAAATAAAAATAAATGAGAACGAACTACGTTTTACTAGTAGAATAATGTATCTTATTTTAACTTTGACTCAATCATTCCATCGAATCTCAACAAATTCATTCATTCTGATTAGATCAACTATAGCTTTCTTACATTCTTGATCATCTCGTTTCAAACATGCTCGAATATCCAATACTCTAAGTACTGTATTAAAATGAAGCATTTTGATTAGACAAACAATACAAGTTAGACTTAATGGATTGTTCGAAAGATCAAGTATAGTTAGTGAAAATAATTCGGAAAGAAGTGCTCCTCCAAGTTTAATTACGCTATCCTCAGATAAGTTATTATTCGACAGACTAAGGTCTGTGATACTTGAAGCATTTGATCTTAATGATTTCACTAACAACTCAATATCACTAAAATCAATGTTACATTGACATAAACTGAGACTTTTTAGTTTCCATCCACTTTCAATGAGATTTGTTAAATTTTGCCAATTTGACACTCGACTTAGTGAAAGACTCTGTAGAGAAGAGCTCAAAACTAGATTACGACATAATCTACTACAATCAACCATTGTATCAAATGACAAGGATAAAGTTTTCAATATTGGCAGCCGGGCTATATACTGACAAAAACCCTCATTG